CAGAAGATACCTGAGTGACCATCTAGTCTTACGCCTCATTTGATAGATGGGGGAACTGAGACCCAGAGAGGGAAGTGCCTTACTACATATTATGTGTGTCAACTTGGTTATGTAACTTCTCCGGATCTCAGTTTCCTTATCTGTAAAATAAGTGAGGGGGTGGACTCAATGATCTCTAAGATATCTTGAAATCCTAGAATTCTGTAAGTAAATGACCGTTAAAGGGTCTCTCCCAGTTCTAAAACTCTATGAGCACTTAAATTCTCAGAATCTCAGTTTTTTACATCTGCAAAATGGGCAAAAACAAACCGGCACCACTCATTCAATAGGGTCAGCACTTGGTAAACTAGAAGGAGGAAGGAACGAGAACAGGTGATTATTATGAGGAGTGACCTCTGGGGCCCTGAAAAGAACAGGCATCAGAAGGCCCTTCTTTGCCAAGGAGGCATCCTCAAGTCCCCCGGATGTTTGTCAAGGTTTGTCATTTGATGGAAGAGAAAACGAAGGAGCAGAGAGGAAAAGAGACCCACCCGTGGTCATACAGGTCAGTTGCAAAGCCCTGTAGACAGCACCAACACACTAGGTCCAGGTTTAGCGTCCACACTATACCAGTAACTGGTTGGATGAGTAGTTTTGCTCTCTCACTAGAAAGACCAACCATCCATCTCTAGAGCCCGTCTGGGGGGTCCCCCTCCCCTGAGGAGGTGGCTAGTGGAATATTTCCAGCCTTTGCTCCACCCCCACCCCCCTCCAGGAGAAAACAAGAGAGTCTGCAAGAGGAGAGGGGCAGGGAGGATGTGTTTGTTTTTAAAATAACAAGGAAGGCGTGGGGCCTCAATGTCTCTTTAAATGTCCTGAGGCAGAGAGAGGTTGGGGGGTGGAGAGGTGTTGGAGGCAGGCCTGGGAATTCCTAACACAGGACTTCCCAGAATCCCAAAATGTCAGAGCTGGAAGGAAGCTCAGAACAGAGCATGTCAGAGCAGGGAAGGACCTTGAAACGGAGAATCCCAGAGTCCTAGCATCCCAGAATTAGGGAAACGGAGAGTTAGAAAGGCCTTGGGTGGGCAACTTGGCTGACCCCTACCAAAAAGGAATCCCCATTCTAACAGGAGACTTTCAGAATCCCCCTACCCTCTGACACATAGTGTCAGAGTTGGCCAGGGGACTTAGAGATCGTCTGACTCTACTCTTTCATTTTACAGATGAGGAAACTGAGGCCCAAGAGGGAAAGTGGTTTGTACAAATCACTCAGATAATTTTTCTTGGTGTTGTTCAGTTGCTGTTCAGTTGTGTCTGACTTTTCATGACCCCATTTGGGGTTTTCCTAACAGAGATACTGGAGTAATTTGCCATTTCCTACTTCCAGCTCTTTTTACAGATGAGGAAACTGAGGCAAACAGGGTTAAGTGACTTGCCCAGGGTCACACAGCTGGTAATTCTCTGAGGCCAGATTTGAACTCAGAAGATGAATCTTCCTGACTCCAGGCCTGGTACTCTGTCCACCATCTAACTGACCCTACTCAGATAATTAGAAATTCCTAGATCTATCAGCCTGGAGTCCCAGAAAGTATAACTGAGCTTCTAAATTCCAAGCCATTTCTCCTGGTTACAGCAGCAGCAGCAGCTGCATAAAGTGTTGGTCAATTAATTGGTGTCAAAATACAAGGAAGTCCATAGTGGGAAGTCCCAGTGATATATGCGGTTCAACACTTCTACTAATGACCCAAATGAGACAAAAATGAAGATGACAATATTTATATAGCACTTACTATATGCCTAATATTGTCCTAAGCACATTACAAATATCACCTCATTTTATCTTCACCACAACCCTGGTGAGTAGGTGCTATTATGATCCCTATTTTATGTTTGAGGAAACTGAGGCCATCATAGCATTCCAGTACTGTCCATGGCAAGGATGTTGGAGTGTTTCTTGGCAAGGATACTGGAGTGGTTTGCCATTTCCTTCTCCAGTGGATTAAGGTAAACAGAGGGGAAGTGACTTGCCCAAGGTTACACAGCCAGGAAGTGAATTCAAGTCTTCCTGCCCCCGGGCCCAGCACTCTGATGCGCCACTAACTTGTAGAAGATACACAGCCAGAAAGATTAGGCAAAACACTGGATGATAAATGAGGAGCCGAAAGACCTTGAAAGCCTGCAAAGAAGGGACAAATTTAATCATTTTTAAATTTAACAGGAATAAATGTAAAGTCTTGGGTTTGGGTTCAAAAAGAAAAACTACTTTGCATGTGGATGACAGGGAAGTCCTGAATGAATAATTCACGTAAAAAAAGTTGGGGTGAAGATGCTCACGGCGACAGCAGGAAATGCCAACGTGCCTTAATGTGTATAAATTAAAAGAAGGGCCCTAGACTGACTAGCTATGTGAGCCTAGGTAAGTCACTTCCCCTTTCTGAGCTTCAGTTACCACATCTGTAAAGTGGATATAGTAGCATACACACTACTCAGCTCATCAGGTGGCTATGAGAATCTGCTTTTATCAGCTTTAATGTAGTACAGAAATGGAAGGAAGGCAGAATTTGATCGTGACTTACATTTAGATAGAATTCGGGTTTGCAAAGCACTTTGTACTCCTAATCTCGTGAAGTTTTCACCACACTCATGTGAAGTAGATGACTTTATCCTCATTCTACAGATGGAAAAACCCAGACTCGTGGAGATTCAGGAGCCCAGCCAGGATCACACAGCTAATGTCAGAGGGCAGACTGTGGTGATAATAATGTGGTTGTTGAATCTTTCCAGTCCTGTCTGACTCTTGATGACCCCATGTGGTGTTTTCTTGGCAAAGATACTGGAGGGGCTTACCATTTCCTTCTCCAGCTCATTTTACAGATGAGGAAACTGAGGCCGATGGGCTTAAGTGACTTGCCCTGGGTCACAAAGCTAGTAAGCGTCTGTGTACAGATTTGAACTCAGGTCCTCCTGACTCTAGTCAAGCCTAGCACTCTACTCATCACAGTGCCACCTCGCTCCCTGTCGATAATAATAATAAGAGCTTACATCTTTGTAGTGATTTTACAAAGGCCTTTCCCATTTTTTGACCCTTAAAACTCTCCAGAAAAGTCAGCTGTGGTCCTTCTCCTCTTGTGAGTTTCTCTTCTCTGTCCCCTAAGTGCCTTGCCTCCTCCCCCTGCCAGGGCTAGGGGCTCCAGGGCCAGGTTTGAAGTAAAGACTGAAAGGCAGTACCAGCCCACGTACCCTGGGACCCCCTTCTCAAGGCCCTTCAGCATCTTGCTCCTCGGGCCAGATGGTTGCTTTTTTCCTCCCCTCTGCTTCATTCACCCTCTTCCAGCTGGCATCTTGTCTCCTGTATGACTCTCTTCTTCCCCATCTATTTCTGTCTGTCCCCCGGACTCTGACTATTTCTGTCCCATCTCTATCTTCCTTTCCCTTCTCCTCTCGTGGCTGTTTCTTTCCCCTTTCTCCCCGTTCTCCTTCTTTCCTGTTCTCCTTCTCCTTCCTCCCCTACTGTAACCTCTCCTTGGTCCTCCCCAACTGTCCCTACTCCTTTCCTTTTTCACTACCTGTCACTCCATCCGTTGTGAAACAGAGAAGGCCCCTGGAACCCGGGGGTGGAGGGTGGGGTGGGTTGTCGATCTGACTCTGGAGCATGATGGGAGTAGGGTGGCGAAGGGCAGGAGAGTCCTCATTCCGGTCTGGCCTTCTGGCCACCCCTAGCAGATGGAGCTTGGAGCCTTCTCTCCAGGACATCAATTCCCTCCCCTTGGGCCCTGGAGAGCAAGATTTCCTTTCATGAGATCGGTTTGTCTGGAAATAGTCACATTGTCAAAGTGGCCCTCTTTGCCCCTCCAAACTGCTGGAGCTTCTGTAGACCTTTGCTCTACCTAACTCCATTCCTGCCTTCTCCACTGGTCCTTAGTTTCCTCATCTGTATAATTAGGGGACTGTATATTTCTAGGAACAATATTTCTAGCAGGTCTTTTTGCAGTGCAAAGAATTAGAAACTGAGGGGGTGCCCATCAATCGTGGAATGGCTGAAGTTGTGACTGTGATGGAATGCTATTGTGCTGTAAGAAATGATGAAGGAGATAGTGTCAAAGAAACCAGGGAAGACTCATGTGAACTGATACATAGTGAATTGAAAAGAACCAGGAGAATAGTTCATATTCTATATATAAAGTTATAAAGACAACTTTAAAAGACTTGGGAACTCTGATCAAAGCAGTAAGGTAGCACAGTGAATAGAGACCTGAAGTCAAGAAGACCTGAGTTCAAATCTAGCCTCAGACACTTCCTAGCTGTGTGATCCTGGGGAAGTCACTTAATATCTTCCTCTCCATGCCTCAGTTTCCTTATCTGTAAAATGAGGATAATAATAGCATCTACTTTCCAGGGTTGTTCTGAGGATGAAATGAGATATTTGTAAAGTTAAAGTGTATTATGAATGGTTGCTATTATTACTAGCACAATGACCAACCATGATGCCAAAGGACTCAAGATGAAACATTATCCACTGCCTGATAGAGTGCTGGAAGGCTCAAGGTACAGATTGAGAAATTTTTTTTTGGACATTTGCCAGTGTGGGTGTTTGTTTTGCTTGACTATATATGTTTGTTACAAGGGTTTTGTTTTTCTTCCTTGGGGAGGGGAAGCATAAGGGTGAGGTGGAAGGGACAGAAAGTGGATCTTTGTAAAAACAAAATAAAATTTAATTCAGAATAAGACGAGGGTTTTGCACTAGCTGATCTCTGAGTTCCCTCCTTGGCCCCACATGCCCCATGAGCCTGAGCTCCCAGACCCAGGGACACACAGAAACTGGCTCTGCCCCACTAAAGTGATGCCAGGACAGCCAAACCCACCAATATGGACGGCATAGAATATACTACAGGACTGCCCAGGCCAGAGCATTCACGGATCGAGGGCCACTCCATATTCCTGAAGTAGGTGTGTGTGATGATGCTCGTGTCTATACACTGTCGGAGGTTAGAATCATTTAGGGCTGAGGAAGATCTTATGTGATGCCTTATATCACGGAATTCAACCTCCTCGTGCTACAGATGGAGACAGTGAGGGTCAGAGAGGGGACAGGCCAGACAGAATCAGAGGAAGCGGCTGAGGCCGAGAGAGGAGAAGAAACTTGCTTCAGGTCCCAGGCATAGAGCATCCAAGTCAACATTGGAACTCAAGTTCTCTGAGTACGAATCCAGGATTCGTTCACTGTCTGTGTCTTCCAGTCACAGGTTGATCTCTTTGACAGCAAGGCACTGTCTTATCTGAACGAGTCCCTCTGCATACAGGAGATTCTTAGAAATGTATTGAGGCACAGTGCCTGGCACAATGTTTATTGACTGACTGACTGAATATACCAGACACACAGCACAAACCCACAGAGACACCCACGTTCCGAGGTACGCAGGCAGACAGGCAGTGTGGGCGTGGGCTGGCAGACCAAAGTCGGGGCTTTCCCCCGGGTTAGGGCTGCCTGGGCTGAGGCCGCAAGAGCATCGATTGGGTGCCCCTCACTCCCCTGGGGCTCGGCCGAGTCTGCAGCTCCAGGAAGGGATCAAATCAACGGTGAAGTGGATCAAAGGACCAAGGCCAATGGGGCAGTGGGGAGTGGGAATCTGGAAGAGGAGCAGGAAGAGATCCCGGGACGCCCGAAGCGAGAGAAGACAGCCCGAATAGTGCTGTGGACACCCGAGCGCTTTCCCCACCCTTCAGTCCTACAACGAAAGCTTGGAAGGCCAATGTGTGGGCCAGAACCTGGGAGTAGAGGCTGGCGTCGGAGCCAGGGCAGGAACCAGAGACACAGAGATAGAGACCGAGAGGTAAGAGGGCCAGAGATCGAGAGACAGACTGCCAGAAGAGACCGGCGGAGACGGGAAGGAGAACTAGAGAGACAAAAGGAAAGAGGCAGAGACAGTAAGGGAGGAAAACAGGAGGGGGGGGGTAGAGAAATACAGGAGGAGAGAAATAGAGACGGACGGACGGGACGGACCAGACGGACAGGAAGTCAAAGAGAACCACAGAGATCGAACGGAAGAGGCCGAGAGATGGGGGGGAAAGGAGAGGTACCCTGAGAGACAAGAAATAGGGAGGGAAGAAAAGAAAAAGAAGGGAAAAGAAAGAACGGGAGAAGGCGAAGGAAGGCGGCGGAGAGATTGAGGAGGCTGAGGTTTCGGGGTCCGGAGGGCCTGGCATCCCCAGCTCTAATCTCTACCGGCCTCCCGAGACCCCTGCCAGAAGCCCATTTTCTCGAATGGGAAAGATCGGGGCGGCTGCGGGGGAGTAGCGAAGTCCACAGGCTGAGCCTCCCTCCTCCCCACCTAGCCCCGGGCGGGTCTTTGGGCCCGGCCTGATTCCACAGCACCCCTCCCCTGGCCCGGCCCCAAGGCGCTCCGAGCGCCCGGGCTCTGGGGTCCCGCCTGCTCCGAAATTCCCCAGTCCTCTGGCCCTCAGGAGTCCTTCCAGTCCACCCCCGCCCCCTCCAATTAGCCGAATTGGAGAGCACCCCTCTGGAGTAGACCTGGCCTCAGCCCCGAGCTGTGTCAATTCCATCACCGTCAGGGCACCAGACACCTGTTAGACCCTCCCCAAGGCCCTGAATTAATTCGGATCTTTAATCTGGACAATTAATCCGAACGGACTCAACGGGAGCAGACCTGGCCAGTCCCAGCCTGGGAGAAGGAGCAAGGTGGAGGGGTCTTCCCCTCCCCACATCTCACTGGCAGGGGAGCAATTTAGGGGCGCGGCGGGTGGCCCCCAACAGCTGCACCAAGCATAGAGCCCTCCCAGTTCCCAGGCTTCAGTTCGGGGCGATTTCTTGCCCCCTGTAGAAGCCGAAGCCCTCTCCAGGGTTGGCCAAGAAACGTAGGCTAGGGTTGCCCCAAACGCAGCCCCTCGGGGCCTTCTGCGGTCCGCTGACCTACCAGAAGACCAGAGCCCTTCTCTCACCGGAACCCGGCAAGTTGGGCAGAAGAGAGATCTCCAAGAGTGGGTGCCCGTTCTGGGCTGGGGGATGAGTGGACCGGGGAACTCGTGTGACTTGCTCTCATCGGTGCTGTGGGTCGGGTCTATACGGGCGTGGGGTACTATCACTCCCTGGTTCCAGACCAGGAAACCCGCTCCGGGAGAAGTGGAGTTAGGGTCTCACTTGTGCACCTCTGGCTGCTCTGAGGCATCGAATGAGGGCTTCCCACCTGGCCCTCGGCTCGGCCTTCATGGCTGTGTAGACTGGGCCGCGGAAAATTTCACCTTCGAGGGATTAGGTTTAACGGAGAAACCAAATTCGATTCAGCAAACGCAGTTTGGGGACCTCTCAAGTGCCAGGAGCCGTAATCCTACAGATTCTCGGTTCCCACAAGGTCAGGTCACTTTCAAAGTTTTCTTGGGACAGAGGAATTACTACTTCGGTACTGGCGGGAATTCGAGAGGGCATTCATTGCCTCCTAGCGCTTCGTTCACCTTCCGCTTTCTAGGAGGAGCTTGACGCGGGTCCGGTAAGGAGCTATGGATCCCGGGGTCAGAGTGGCCCAGTCAGGGCCCCTGCGCTCAGGAGGAGCCCCGGGCAGGGAGGACCCAGCCACCCGACTCTGGACACTACGCTGCTCATCCGTTGCAGGGTTTCTGTTCCGGGCAGCGCTGGGTATGGAGTCAAAGACTTGAATTCAAATCAGAACTCAGACACTTGCTGTGAGACCCTGGGCAAGTCACTTAATCTCTTCCTGCCTCAATTTCCTCAGGTGTAAACGGGCTTCTACCTCGCAAGGTTGTTGTATGGATCAAACGAGGTACATCTTGTAAAAACTTGTAGCACCATGCCTAGCACATAGTAGGTAATCTTCCCTTCTCTTCCTTCCCTGGGTGAGAAGCGAATGTGACTGCGAGCGTTTGGTAGTGTATTGGAGAGAGGCTGGGAGAAAAGCCTCGGTGACAGGAATCCCAGCCCGGAGGCGCACCAGCGTGTGACCTTGGTCAAGTGCTTCCCTTTCCTTTTCTGGGCCTCGGTTTCTCACTCCGTAAAATGAGGGGCTGAATGGAGCTCGTTTGTCTCTTGTCCTGTCTGACCGTCTGTGATGCACGAATGTGTATGTGTGTGAGTGTGTGTATGTGTGTGTGTAAGAGACAGACAGGCAGAGACAGAGACACAGAGAAAGAGAGGGGAGAGTTGGTGTGTGGTTGTGTACAGGGGCACATTTCACGACGGTGCTCATTACAGGCGTGGGTTTTTTTTTGAGTAACCAAGATTTCAATTTTAGTAGCGCTCCCTGACTTACAAATCGTTTTCCTCCTCACAGCCGCCTGGAGGGGTTGGGGGAGACAATAGGGCAGAGATTGTTCGCCTCTTTTTTTTTTCTTTTTTCTAAGACAAAGCCAAGGTTCAGAGAGCCTTGCTCTCTCAAGGACTTGCTTGTGGTCACACAGCTAGTCAGTGACAGAGGCGGGATTCGCACTCGCATCTCCTGTCTTCCCAGTTCAACAGCGGCTAAATGAATCTGTACGTGACTATGTTGAGTATAAGGTATGTGTGGGCGTGCGCGTAAAGATAGCAAGGGTTGGAGAAAAATAACCGAGTCCTAAGCAAGCTTCGTTCACGGGGGCGGGGGCCGAAGGATCGTTAGACCCTAGATTTCGAGCTGAAAGGGAACTCTGAGATCCAACCCCTTCATTTTACAGAAGAGGAAACTGAGGCCCAAGAAAGAGAAGCGTCTTGCCTAGTGTCACAGAGACACTAGGTAACCAGGGGCTGGATGAAAGCCGGGTAGTATAAGGCGGAGGAGACGTCTCATCTCAGACCCGGGGTGAGACCTCAGCCAGTGAGCTCCTAATGCTCTCCAGACTTCGGGAGCCGGGAGGAAACGCCTCCGTCACTGCTCGCTGACCCACATCGGGCCAGAGAGCACCCACTTTCCTTCCAAGGGCAGGGGATAGTTTGCCCCGAGCCTTTGGGGGATATCATGTGGGGGGAGGTTGACCCACTTGGGGGGGTGGAGAGGTCGGTGTGTGCAGGAGTATCACAGGTTTGTTGGAAGAGTCGAGTACACGTTACATGTCGAGCCTACACTTGTGTGAGCAAGGCGCCACATACGTGGAAAGCGTCCCAGGTACTAAGGGAGATCACAGGGGTGTTCAAGTAAGGGGGAGGGCACAGGTGAGTCCTGGCAAGGAGCCCCCTTGTGTGTGTGTTGGGGGGGGGTCCCACGGGGGAATCACTCCTGCATGCAAGAGTACCCCACAAGAGTGCAGCCCGGAGAGCACCCAGACCTGGAGGGCGTGGTCACGCCCGTGCACCCATCTGTCCAGACATTCTGCTGCCATCTGTGAGGGCACGAGTGGGGGGGAGGGGACTGTCTATGTCTCCTTATTAAAGACCTACTCTGTGCCAGGCTAAAAAGACAGAACAAAAAACAGAAATAGTCCCTGCCCTCAGGAAGCTTCCATTTTCTTGGGGAAGATAACGTGCGCACACATAATATACGGCATAGGGGCTGAGGCGTGTCTGCGTGTGTCTGTATCTCTGCGTGTCTGTCCTTGTTTGGAGGGGGAGGGCGGGGACCGACGGGGGCGTTTTCGTCGACCTTGGCTGCCGAGGCTGCCCAAGAATCGCCCCATGTTCCAGAGGGACAGACGCACGAATCTATTGGCCTCGCCCCTCTTGTCCACGCCCTCGTGATCCCCGTGGGGCCTCGTGAAGCAGAAGCATCCCGCTAGGCGCATCGGACCCTCCCACCTCAGGCTCCGCCCACGAGAATCTTTGGCATCCATTGACCCGCCCTTGGGGGCCCCCAAAGAAGGAGAAGGGGGAGAGACAAACCCTTCGCTTGCCTGAACCTCTGTTTGCCCAACAGTAAAACAAGGAGGTTGAATTTGATGATTGCTAAGGTCCTTCCAATTCCACATCCAAGATTCTGCCCCCCCGCTGCCGGGTGACCTTGGCCAAGACCCTCCCCCACTGCTAGACCTCCTCTGCTTTGCCCTCTTTTTCGAAATTATCCTGGGATGCTGTCCTGTAATTGAGTCTTTGCCCTCACCAGACAGACTGGGAGCTCCCTGAAGGCGAGGGTCGTGCCTTGTCTAGTTTGGGTACCCCCATTTCCACCCTCCGGCTTGGGGTTCTCCCCCCTGCAAGGACACACCATACCGAAGGTTTGTTGATAGGACGGCTGAGCTCCCGGCGGTTTCAGAGGTTCGGAGACTCCTGCTGACGGCCACATCCAGGGGGCGCGATTCCCAAAATTTTCCCGGAATGCCTCCTCTCAGCTCTGGTTCTTAGCCTCAGTTTCTCCATCCCAACTCTATCAGACCGACTAAATCCGTCAATCGGCATTTATTAAGGACCACGCATGGTGCTAGGTGCTACGGTTACGGGCTCTGCTCCGCTGTCGAAATGCTCACATTCTGCAGGGGGGAGAGAGCAGCCGCTTAGAGAAGTAGATAGAAAATACAGGGATTGGGACCCGAGATGTCCCAAACACACCTGTGAGAACAACGTCATCGTGGAAGGGAACTCCCAGATGAGGAGACTCCCTCCCTCTCCCAAATGCTCCTTTGGAACTTGGAAGTCGTCGGGTCTAGACAGTAAATTGACCTTGACCCTAGACCACGAAGAAATTAAGCTTTGCCCCGGGTCACATAGTCAGTGTGTGTCGGAGACAGGACTCGAACCCGTGCCTTCCTAGCTGATTCTCTATCCACTAGGGCCCCAAGCTTCTCTCACATAAAACAAATCCAGGAACATTGGGAACAGCAGTCCCACTGGTAAGAGCTGGCATGGGGTGGGGGGCGGCGTTGAAGAAAGCCTGGGAGGGGAGGAGGGAAGGATCGTAGGATTCTGAGCCGGAAGAGATCCTCGACATTGTCTTCATCGTCCAGAGAAGAAAAACGACTCTCTCGACAAGTAGCTAGATAGAGCATTTATCAAGTGTTTGCTGTGGGTGGCCGGCCCCGGTAACACCGTAGAGGTGAAGGGGCCGCTCGCACGTTACAGGAGACAGAAATGCTCCTCTGATGTTAAATCCGGCGCGCATCCCCCTGCCCCGCGCTCAGGCCAAAGCGGGGCCGGCCAACTTACTTTCTGATTAATCCCTGGTGGGTCCTTTCTTCTGCCAGCGCTGCCTCCAGCTCGAGCTGAGGCCACCTCGGCTCTTCCCAGCAGGGCTCCCAGAGCGGGGAGCCAGGCAAAGCGAACACTTTCCTCCCTAGGGCCTGTCGAGTTCCGGGGGGCCCCGCCTTTGTGCAGCTGCCCGCCCTTCATCTTGACCACCTTTCCACAGGCCGGATGGGCGATACAGGCCTCCACCCCGGGCTGCACCAACCCGCGGCCCGGGGATCCTAGATCTCCACGGAAGGGCCTGGCCCAGGCAGGAGATATTCAGCCTGGCCAAACCCGAGAAGGCAAAGAGCGGGGTAGGAAGATATTGGGGGAAAGAAGAGGCTGAAAGTGGGGAGAGGAGGCTGATAGTGGGGAGGGAGTAGATATTGGGGAGAAAGATAGATGGAGTGGATCCTGGAGAGTGGAATGCTGAGTGGATGGAGAAGATGTTGGGGAAGCAGATAGTGGGAACAGAGGGGCAGAGAGATACTGGGGAGAGAAGGGAGGGGGAGAGATTGGGGACCAGAGAGTGGGAAGGGAGCAGATATTAGGGCAAGGGAGCAGAGCGGCTGCTGTAGGTGCTGTCAGGGAGAAGGGGTCAATAGGAGGGAGAGCACAATAGAGAAGGGTGGAGAGAGAGGGCCAGGAGGCCCCCAAAGGCTGCAGAGAGAAGGCCTGGGGCCCAGAACTGCCTGGCAGGAGGAGCTCAGCAGGGGGCTGGGCCTGGGAGGGGCCCTGCCAGGGGAAGAAGGTGGAAATGAGCCTAGGAACCTGCTCTACACTGCAGGTTCCTCACTTCGGCCTCCGGACCAAGTTTCCCCTGCCCCCTTCCCCACTCCCTGGTGGTTCGTGGTTGCCTCCCCCACGCACACTCTGGGGCCGAAGGGAGCTGAGACAGCTAGGCTGGCAAGAGAGGCTGGGCTCTTTCGGACACCCCACACTGAGAGGAGGGCCTGAGGGCCTGAGCTGTTCCTGTGAGTGTTCTGGGGCTGAGGAGCAGCTGCTGAGCCCAGAACCAGGGTGCGCCTGACCGGGAAGCACTGCCTAGCTTTCCGCCTGGGTACGCCCCGCCCAGCGCAGGCTGAGGATGTAGGACGTGTCTGGGGGACCGGGAGGGGAACTGGGGTCTGGAGAGGCAGGGGCTCCGCCCTGTGGCCCTCTCCCTTTGCAGTCAGTCATCTCTCTTCCTCCTTTCTTCTCTTTTCTCCACTGCTCTCTCTCCTACCTCTTCCCTCTCCTCTGCCTCCCTTCTTTTCCCCTTTCTTCCTCTTCTTTACTTTTCCTTCTTCTTCCTTTTTTCTGTCCCCCTCCCCTTTCTCTCCTCTCTTTTCCTCTCTGTCTTCTCTGTCTTCCATTCCCTTTTTCTCATTCTTCCCTTCTCTCTTCTTTTCAAGCTCCATTCCTGAACAGGGAGTATAGCCACCTAGCCTAGGCCCTCTCTCTCATTGGGCTAGGCTGGTGCTCCCACCAGACCCGACCCTGACCTCCCAGCCCTCCCTGCCTGCCTCCTACCTGATGCTCACTCTGTTCCTTAGGGATCCACTCTGGAACTGTATATTGGCAGTGCTTGGAGATCTCCTGGGATTCTGGAGGAGAAGGGAAGCCAGACTCAGCCAATTCCCTTTGCTCAGGATAGCTGGCTGGGGGCAGCTCCATGGAGATACGCAGGGCTTCAGGGGATCCTGGGGGAGGGTGGAAGACTGGAGGTCTACCTAGGATTCTGTGGGGAAGTAGCCCAGGACTGCCAGCACCCTAGTGTTTCTGGTCATCTGGACAAAGATTCAGCCCTAGAGAATCAGCAGACACCTTCCCCCCTCTTGTATTGTCCTCTCCTGAGTTCATTATCTAGACACAAGGAGCCGGGTAGACTCAGAAACAGAGGGAGAAACAGACACCAAGACAGATGCCAGAACAGAAACATATACAAATACAGTAGAACCAGAGACACCTAGAGACACAGAGAGGTAGAGATAGCCAGAAAATCAGAAATAGAGGTAGAGACAAAAACAAAAAGCAGAGCCATAGACAGACCCACACCCACACCTCCCCTATTCTCTGTTCCCTAGTTTCAGATCTACAAAGACACATGCCCGGCTT